CTCTATATTTGTCTTCTAATAGAAAATAATGCTGACATTGATTTATTTGCTATATTTATGAGCTGTTGCCATTGAACATTTTTTGCACTTGTAAAAAGTGGCACCTTCAACTAAAAAACGTACTACTTTGAAATGATGTAATTTACTTACCAAAACATTTGGGAGGGCGGGGATCCATCAAGCTTTCTCCAGTGCAGGTGTTCATTTTGAAGAAGTGCATGGTGAATTTCACAGAATATTTTGGTCACAGGTCACAGTACGAGCAGTACATGTATTTGATGTGACAGTGAAGTGGGGAGGCAGCACATTCATGAGACCCTGTTGGCTTCACTGAGCAACATCGCAGCCACTGATTGGTCAACAAGCTACACAAGCCACATTGCCCATAGCAACAACTATTCCCGCAAAGTCATTTGCAGTCAAGATGGAGCTCACTCCACCACGCTGTTTGGTTTCGCCAGGAGCCCTGATTTTCAGCCCGATTGCAACAGTCCTCTCCCCATCGCGGAAGCTAGTTGACTGTCCTGCATTTTCGCCTCCTAAACATGTGACCCAATTGTCCAGAAAAAGGCTTTTTGATGGTCCTGCCTTCTCTGCTCAGGGTGCAATGTGTACAAAACGTGGAAGAAAGCCGTTTCATGAAAAGTTCCCATCTCTTGTGCCAACAGTGGTCAACACACTTCAGGAACAAGGTTTTGGCGCTCATCATCAACGATCAAAGACATGGTCCTCGGTTGGGGTAACTGCACGTCAGTTGAAAATGGAAGTTGTGAAGAAAATCCCTGAGTTACGCATCAGTACCAGAAGTGTCCAATACCTGCTCATCCCTCCTAATCAGCAACATACGGCGAGCCATCGGTACCATGCCCTCGTTGATGCCAAGATCAGCGTAAAACAAAATGATGTTGACCTTGATCATCATGCGTCACATTACTGTCGTGCTACGGTAAATTATGCCCTTGAAATGGCCGCATGTTTCAACAATGAAGTTTCCATGTGGTCAGCGGATGACAAAAACAAGCTTCTGGTAGGAGGTGGCCCTTGTGTCGACAGAAGAACGAGTTTCAAAACGTACTTCATGACCAACGATTCCGTGCACTATCCCGATCACAACTTTGCAACAGGATACAAAATCATACCAAGTGGTTATATGCAACTTCTCAATTGGCCATCTTCATCAACAAGAAGAAAGTGATCGAAATTAGCCCTACGAGATCTGGAACACGTTTTGATGCCCCAGACTGTGAAGATCCACTTCTGTGCCGCTCTCTACCAGCATCAAGATACTGCCGTGAAAGCCTAGGCCGTCTTCACTTCCAGTATCCAAGAACAGGGCCCCTGACTGTTTGCTTGC